TAGGCTACATTATAAATGACTACAAAATGTCATGCCTTTTAAAAATACAGAAAAGAACCGGATGCGGGTTCATGCCGTCTCTCTGTCTCCTTTCTGGCGCACGTCCCGCAAAATCAACAGCAGCGAATAGTCTACTTGACGCAAAGATAGATTATCTATCTATAGAAAACTTTAAGTGTCTACTTTGTATTGTTTTATGTTAAATGCTTTATATAAGTTACTTAGGAATAAACAGCATGTTTTCAGATGATAAAGAAAACATGACTCATAGCATGAAAAAAAACGTTAGGTTGTAAATTATTTCGCGGACCCCCTGGCTTTAGCTCGCGGACCACCAGGGGTCCGCGGACCCCACTTTGAGAACCACTGCACTAGACCTCACCTTGGATACGGCAGTTCATTAGAACGAATGCGTCAATAGAGCCGCCATCTTGAAACAGGGGAGCCCCTCCACTTTAATGCGTCAGCGTCAATGTAGTAGACACAGGTCTAACGCAAATAAAATCACCATAAATCATCATGAATGCGATTTTTCTTGTTTTTTGGTTTGTTCCAACGGTCAGACATGTATTTGTCATTGATTTCAGAAAGAAAAAAAACATTTTAATTTTTTTTTTTTAAACATTCTTTATAGTTCAGATTTCTTCCGTGAACTTCATACGCTGCACAAAAGTCCGCCACCATCAATGAATTCGAAGTAAAGGCAGAGATAGCAGCGTTACCTAGCTACTTCCTATGACAAGACCCCTGTTCCAAGATGGCGGCGGTTTTAACGCATGCTTAGAACCCCCAGGTGAGGTCTAGTGTATATATACATACATATATGTCTATGGCTTGATAACAGGCCGCGCGTTGCCATGGACACGCAGGATTCTAACCGTATCCACAAGTTTCCTACGCCCCATGAGGCCTTGCGGCAAAAGTGGGCGCGACTTCCGGTTGGAAGTAAACAAAGCGCGACTTGACATGCTTGACACTCGGGGTGCTTCTCATTTCTTATTTGTGCATCCTCGTTTCCTTTCCTTGCTTCCTTTCCTTGCGTCTCAGCTCCACCCCCTGTAGGACGTGAGGGAAGGAAGCGAGGAAAGGAAAGGAGGACAGAGGAATCGAATAAAAGCTTTTTTATATACATTGGAATACTTGATCACTCGAGCGTCACTCCACGGTGTCATCAGCAGTGCTAAAAGGATCTGCCCTTATGATGTTGAATTTTGGTTATTTAATAAATTCATAATAAATAATAATAAAGATAGGCTATACTATTGAAATATCTGAGATGTGTGGTTTATATAAACTGCAAAGGTAAAGTATAAATTAAAATGATTGTGACCGATGTGAAGGGGGAGGAGAATTGACACGTGCGTCACGTTTAGTCAATATAACAGTTCCGCGTAGGATGCACCTGTGTATCCTCGCTTATGACTCCTCAGGAAGCCTCCTCACTCCTCGATCCTCCACTCCTCACGGTGCAATTAGAGAATTGAGATGTCCTTCAAGATGGCTGAGCTCGATCGGTTTCCGGGTCATAGGAGGGAGGACGGAGGAGCGAGGAGACGAGGAGGGATATTGAGAAGCACCCTCGTTCATTCAACAGTTGACAGTCATTCAAGTTATAGCGATCCAAACTAGCTAACGATGTGGGAACACAACCTCAACGAAATTAAAAAGGGTGAATAACAGTACCTACCCTCCGCAGTAGTTGATAGGAGTTAGGGCTGGGCGATATATCGAATATGTACGATGTATCGTTATATTTTTTGAAACGATATGGAATGAGGCAATACCGTTTATCGATACAGTAGTTTGATATGAGCACATCTGAAAAATAACGGAGGTTGCAGTGTGAGCTGCTGCAGTGAAAGTAGCTAGGCTACGTAGTACAATTTGTCCTAAACATGACACAAGCTTATATTAATTGCGTCAAAATCACTTTGATATTGTTAACAAGTTTAAGGCAGCTTGCCGCCCTGTCAAATGCTCTGACAGACACTGTTGCTGACTGACAGATATACTTGCGCTGTTTAATGCGTTTGAGATGTGGTGCTTATCAGTGCTCAACTTACATTTCACATATTCTCCATCTGTAAATGTTAGAAACTAAAGCAAATATGTCCATTTCACAACAAATATGTCCATGTCAGAAGAGGACGAGCTTCTGCAAGTGAATCTCCGCTAAAATTCATGCTTCCTTGAACGAGCGCCGGCGCGCGCATGCGCGTGAATAGTACTACGTAGTACGCAATAATTCTTACTAAAATAAACATATTGCTAAAATATGTGTTGTTGGAGAAAATAAATGTGCCATATGTGGAATTTTAAACCTACAAGTATATATTTTTAATGAAAGTGAAAGTGATTATAATGGGGTAATCAAATGCAGGCTAATATAATTAGTTTGTGCTTTTGTTTTTGTTTTTATTTTCATTTTTAGTTTAGCTTTTAGTCAATATAAAAACAAAAGCTTTTTGCACATAATATATTGCATAGCCTATATTATATTTGTTTCCATATCCTTCAATATCAACATTGTTTGTAGGATATCATTGGGCCGAATGTGAATATACTGTATATATATATATATATATATATATATATATATTTTTTTTAATATAAAGATTTTCTTTATCTAAATAGAAAACGTAGAAAGTACCGAGATATATATCGTATATCGCCATTTGACCAAAAAATATCGAGATATGATTTTTTGGTCATATCGCCCAGCCCTAATAGGAGTATTATAATAACATTATTAATAATCATTAATAATACTCATCAAGGCATGGTGACACAGTTGTGCGAGCTGACAAACAATTAAAATAAAAAATACACACTTAGTCATTGTGCTTTGGAGTTTATTCAAAATTATAAATGAATGTGCTTCTTGAATACATTAACTGGCACATTTGGTATTCTGTGAACACAGGCTTTTATCCTGAGTTCAGGTGTAACATCAGTAGCGAACAGCCAATCACATGCTGATAGAGTTTATAGAATATTAAGAATTTAAACTAATGTACACAGGAAGATTCGTCGTCTTTTGGGAGGTGATGGAAACTACAGTCGTTGGCAGGATCACTCTGATTTCGTTTTCAGCTTATGTTCAAAACAATCACGTTAAAGCCACTGAATTAGTTTAGTCCGGTTATACATACAACTGCGAACAGCACATGTTGTCCCTGAGCTCCGTAAGGACATCTCTCATAAAGATTTGCGTCTTTAAATAGTAAAATAATTCTCAGAAAAACAGCTAGCCTCTTCGCTAACTAACACACAAAATACCATTGGAATGCTACTTCCGCCGCCTCACCGGAAGTTTCACCCACTTTATTTTTTACAGGAGCGCCCCTCGGAAACTTGTGGATAGACAGAACTATTTTCTTTAGCGGAAGCAATACAATAGTTTTTAAAACAGTAAACTCATTTTTAAATCAATATTGTGTGTCAAATTATTGATTTATTTGGTAGATAGCCACGAAATAAAAATGTGCTGTTATCATGTTATAGCCATGTGTCCCTTACATTTTAGAGATATATATAAACAGCAGTTTGCAGTGTGTCATCACACAGACAACATCCTTCTATAAGCAAGTAATCTCTGTATGTATGTTAGCTGTATGTATAATTGTACATACATATATTAGCTGTATGTGTAATTGTGTCAAATTATTGATTTATTAGCCATGTACTAAAAATGTGCTGTTATCATGTTATAGCCATGTATCCCTCACATGTTTAGAGATATATTATATATTATAAAGAGCAGTTTGCAGTGTGTCATCACACAGACAACATCCTTCTATAAGCAAGTAATCTCTGTATGTATATTAGCTGTTAAGGTCAGTGATGGAGAGGGACAGGTTGAGGATGACCCCTGCAGTCATATTGATGATGAGGGAGAGAAGGAGGAGGAGCAGTAGGAAGGAGAGCAGCAAGAGAAAGAAGAGCAGGAGGAGAAGAATGGAACCAGTATAAAAACAGTGACAGGTACAGGGGCAGTGTGCAGGGCTGGGTAGGCAATCATATTAGGAAAATAAATCAATCAGATATTTACATATAGGTTAAAATGCCAATAATTCCACATACTAGATAATAACCTGACTGAAGCACAGATTGAATTAGAAAATGTTTTATTCTTAGTCATATTTATAACTGAAGTTCTTCTCATGCATATGTATCTGCACATCAGTAAGCAGAGGCAGGGTCCATCACAGGGGAAGCTAAGCCAGGGAGCCAAGCTGAGACACACACACAAATCTCTATTTTATGGGACTGCATTGTAGTTTTTGAGTATTTGTAACTATTTTATCACTCCAACTGACTGCACATGACATGCTGGTAGTTAGCAGTACACTGTGACTTATGTGTTCGAGATTAGGTTTTGCTGACCTGGTTGTGTTCAGTGCAGTGGTGACTTGCTTATACAACCTGAGGAGGCAGGTGTCATCCTAAAGTTTCTTGAAGGTTTTCAGCATAATCTGATTCTCTTTATACCATAAAAACACTATTAGAATTAAAATAACTGCAAAAAATCCTTCTGCTCGTGCACCAAGGGTACTCTCGTAAAAGGCCTCTCCATCTTAAAGTCCCGGGCTGAATTTCAGTCCCAGTACGGCCCTGCTGGTACTGGTACACCTATCCTTATATGGAATGATTTTGAATGTTGAACATGTTGAATATTTACGATTCGCGATCGGGGTGGCTCTGACATTCTTCCGAGCAGGTTCGGATGCTCTTAACACACCTAGGGAATATCTCATAAGATAATCTGCAGAACCATATAAAAAAAGATAAAAGTTTATATTTTGTATGTTACATTTTTATATGTTATATTATAACCATCATTTACATTTTGGTGTGTACCCAGCATTACCTTCATTCTGTTGAAATACCAACCGGAAGAGTTCTTGGCTAACTGCTTATATACATATAATATTTAAGTGGTCAAAGTAATCATTATCCCATGTATACTGCACTTTAAAATCAAATGAATGCAAAAAAGGTGATGAAACATTGAGTTTATTGAGTAGAAAAATACCATTTCAATGTTGATCACAAAATTACAACATAAAGAAGCCAGACACTGGCGACAACTACTGATTTTGCTTTTGAATCTGCATTATTTTTGGCTTGCACTCGTCAACAGTTTCTCATTCCACAAAACAGAAGCAAGGCTTTTAGACACAATCAAAGTAAAAGCACTGAACGATGACTGTGTGAGTCTGACCAAAAACAGAACGAAAAAAAGACGACAAACACTTGCAGCTGAGTCAGTAAAGTCTCGCTGGTTTGCGTTTACTCCAGGTCGGAAATCATGAAGACAGCCTGAGGAATCTCATCTCTTAATGAGGCTGTTGATTGCCTTCATCTCATCAGAGCTCAGAGGGGCAAGATTATATCCCGTCAGCTCAGGCTTCCCTGTGGAAGAAATACACAATATCAGCTCAAGTATATACTCATATTTCACCACATTAACCTGCAACACTTCTGACACTGTCAGTTAAATTTATAAAGTAGATATTTACTACACACTGACCTAAAGACGAGGGTGTTATGTGGGTCAAAGTAGAGGTGTGCGACATTGACCAAAAAAAATGAATGTATATCGATATTTTCTGGGATTTTGTTGATAACGATGATCAGACGATATAGTGCTGGTGTCTTTATAACAGGCAATTTTGTCTATACTTAAATGAAGCCTATGCATCATTTATAATGTCAAATTATTACATTTAATCAAATAAATTGAATTAGAATAATAAGACGCAGTAGAATTTTGTAGAGAAAAGATATTTTAAATATGAAAGTGCAACTGCCAGTAGGCGGCAGGTCACTGTTAATGAGCAAATCATAGAGTCAATAATTCAATCGATTCGTTCAAATAGACCAATTGATTCAGTAATGAAACCACTGTGTGTTGCTCAGAGACGCAAACATTTCTGTCGTGGCTTTGTTTGGAACTGTTTTTGCCTGCCAAATAAAGCAAAAATAGGCAATATTGTGTCCAAAATGTAAGTCACTAACTTGCTTTTTAAACTATTGTATAGAGCGGTGCGATTCAGGATGAATTGAAAATCAAACTTTTTTTGTTTCAATAAAAGCATCAAGCATTCAAAAGCCATTGAATGCTTGATGCTTATATATATATATATATATATATATATATGAAGAGTTCAGATGCAAAAGCCTCTAAGTGCCATTTGAAATTTTCTTCTAGAATGATAATTTTTATCAAGCTTGTATATTTAAGTTCAGTGATTTCACTTAAATTGCAATGATAATTACCTATTAATTGTTATTTAAGTGAAATTACTGAACTTAAATATACAAGTTTGATAAAAAATTATCATTAAAGAAGAAAATTTCAAATGGCATTTAGAGGCTTTTGCATCTGAACTCTTCATATATATATATATATATATATATATATATCTCACACCCCTATGCCAAAGTATCAATGAATCAGGATGGTATAAACTCTACCTTGTAACTCATTGAGACGATTTACTTTTGCTTTTAGTCGTTTGCGGAGGTCATTTATTTCCTTGTCAAGGTTTTCTTGGTCTGTTGAGCACAAATAACAGCAAAAGGCAAAGTAAACATGGAGAATGTGTTATTAAGACAGAAATATGGTTAAAGAGGGCATGCTCACCTTTAAGGATCATGGATCTGGCTCTCTCTTGGGGGAATTTGATGAACATATTTCCAAAACACACCTTAACATTGTCTAGATTAGATTGGATCATGCATTATTGTCATGTTCACGGGCAAATAGCAACAAACTGTTTAAATAATATTATGATGCAGATAATATCCGATAGAACCTCCTGAGATCTGTAGAGGACATTTTTTTGGTTTCTGAGATCATCAACTTTTCAACTGAGATAATATTAATGAGCATCAGCATTGAGTTAGTGTGCCAGCTTACAGGGCTCTTATACCATATAAAATAGGTCAAATGTGTTTGGGGATTAGGTCACGATAACGTTCTCTTCTTGGTTTAAAATGATGACTATTCATATAAAATAAATATAAGATATCCTTATGAAACTTCAGTACTAGAAAAAATTAATATAAGTTATACACTTACATGTATACCGGTAAATCATCATGTAATATATTTCATAACATAGATGTAATGCTTATCAAATACAGACACTAATTGTATACAAACTACAGTAATACATGTATCCCTATTTTATAAACATCTGTAACAGAACATATGAACAAAACCAGAACATAAATGCAAATGCAACATATAAATTAAGATGAGATGAGATATCATGTTATCACAGACTAATAACATATATAATATTAATGATATGAACAATATTTAGGACTTGCCATTTGAGGAATGATTTCGTAAAGCGTTTAATGCTTCTCGATTTCTGTTTCTCCGCAAATCCATGTCCACAATCTGTCAATATATAAGCGCCAATTCATTAATTCACCCTATTTCAGCGACACTTCTCCTTATCCATCAAATATAATACATAGGTACCTGTTGTTTGTCAGCAAGTATGTCTTCTGCAGCAACCTCTACTTCAGTCAAATTCTCTAATATTCGCTGTGCACACTCGTCCATGTTTGATTTCTGTATGTGGTGCGCTGGAAAAATAGGCTCGGCTGATGACGGAAACAATATCTGCTCAATTTCAGTTCCGCCCTGTTAGCAGCCGCATACTCTTATATCTTATATACAACCTTGAACCTTAATGTATATATATATATGTCATAAAATAGAAAATATGGGAAAAATAGATAGGAAGAGTAGTATGTTAATATAAGTTTACGAATTCAACAAATGTATGCAAACTTTCGACAATCATTTCTGTAAACCTTAGTCTTCGCTACAAAAAAACTTTTTATTTTATTTGTATTAATATTTTGCAAGTAACAACAATTAACATTCATTCCAAATCCTACTGACATTAGAAATTAACGAGTAACGTTAGAACAATTGACTTACGAGGGACACACAAAAAAGCTAACTTTTCCACTTTAACTGACCATGAAAATACAGTTCATTTTGCGTCATTACCAAAAACAAAATAAGTTTTCAGTTCAGCTCAGTACATTTCTCCCATAAAAGCACATGGTAAGTAGGCCTATTGTTAAAATGTATATTATTATTAGCCTACACATTAATTTGATTGTAACATCAGTGAACATTTTGAAAAAATTAATTAGTCCATATATCGCCCATATCGCCCTTGTGAAAACTTCTTCCTTAATTCAAAATATGATTCATACTTACAGTAGATGATATTAACATATTCCTATATTGTAGCAGTATGGTAATGAATCTTTTCCCAAAACAACTGGAATTACAACTGGATACATCTATTACAAACTGCTCCCATGTCAAGAGGAGCTTTACAAACATGTTTTATTTATGACCATTACATTCAACATTTGAATCAGACATAAGAAAAATAATAAGTTATACAATGTAAGATGTGTGATGTTTTGCTCACTGAGACAGTCATGTTAAGGCTAATTGTGTGTTTCAATGTTAACAGTGAATCTTACCATTAGATACATTACTGTAACAGAATAACCTGTGTAATCTGCAGACATACAAGTATTGCTGATTTTTGTTTTGTTTGTTTATTTACATGCTGATAAACGTTGCTCCAGAGAAATTAATGTAGGCCTATATATTGCTATTACAGAACAACAATAAAAGAAAAATGACTAAAAATAAGATTTTAAACAAAAATAAACATGGGGTACAGCATGCGTATAGTACTGCTATGAAAACACATCTTAAACTTCATTTTTTAAGCAATGCTGTCATAAACAGACAAAATGATTGTGCTGAACTTAGAGGCTTAAAGGCCCGTTCACAGCGACGGAAAATAAGATAAAGACATAGTTATAAAAATCATTCTAAATATAAAAGAATAGCAGAGTCCACACCAAAATCCCAAATCCTTGTCCTTGTGGGGACATCTTTATAAAACAATTTATAAATCATACTTAGTTGTTTCTTTTTTAACAGTAAAAATGCAGAAAGTTTTCTCTGATGGGTAGGTTAGTGTTTGTGATGAAATATATTTGAGATTAAATATGTACCCCTACCTAAAGGATTATTAGGAACACCTGATTATTAGGAACAATTTCTCATTAATGCAATTATCTAATCAACCAATTACATGGCAGTTGCTTCAATGCATTTAGGAGTGTGGTCCTGGTCAAGACAATCTCCTGAACTCTAAACTGAATGTCAGAATGGGAAAGAAAGGTGATTTAAGCTATTTTGAGCGTGACATGGTTGTTGACATGTTCCCATTCTCTGTTGGCTACTTCCAGCAGGATAATGCACCATGTCACAAAGCTCGAATCATTTCAAATTGGTTTCTTGAACATGTCAATGAGTTGACTGTACTAAAATGGCCCCCACAGTCACCAGATCTCAACCCAATAGACCATCTTTGGGATGTGGTGGAACAGGAGCTTCGTGCCCTGGATGTGCATCCCACAAATCTCCATCAACTGCAAGATGCTATCCTATCAATATGGGCCAACATTTCTAAAGAATGCTTTCAGTACCTTGTTGAATCAATGCCACGTAGAATTAAGGCTGTATTAGCATGGTGTTCCTAATAATCCTTTAGGTGAGTGTACGATTTTTGGGAATGTGTGCTTTCAGTTGTCACTACATTTTTCAATTTGGAACAAACGTTGTTTAATGAATCAAGATTTGTTCATGAAAACGTACACAAAGAGAATGAGACCTAGAGTTATTGCATTAGATAAAAAGAAAAAACATCACACCAAATATCATTTACAATCTTTAAACCAAAACATCTCACCATAAGGTTTTAAATGATAAATCAACACTGTTGGAAATGAAGACAACTTTCGGTTTGCAAAACATCATGTCCATATATGTGAAGAACTGACTTCATACATTCACAAAAATAACAGTTATCAGTTGCCTACAGTAAATGTCATTGCACAAATTTCTCAGAAAACCTGTTTTGATATTTTCTTATCGGTACTTTGAAATTCATTCATTTTAGAGAAAGTGTTTTCCCTGAAGAAAGTGTTACATTGTGACAAATGCAACGTGTTTCTGCTTCCTGGTCAGTGGACCGGTTGCAGAGTGTTTGGGTGTTTGTAAAGCCTCTGAAGGATCAGCACAGGACTGTGTTGGATCACAGCTCTTCCATTGTTCACTGTGTCCTCGTGGCGTAAAGCCGATCTCCTTGACGCCAACACAGGAGCGGCTCCTCTCCCCCGGCCTTCTCTTCCTCCCATCGCAGGGGCCGGCTGCTGTGGCCCGCTCAGGACTGCGTGTGGATCCCGCCGGATTGCGGATGTTCCCGACGGCCTGCATGCGCCTCCAGTGGCTGCTGTCGCTCAGAGGATCACTGAGTCTGTGCTCCCGGGATCTGTGTCTCGACTCCATCGGATGCGCTCTGCTTTCACTGCTGCTGCGTTTTGGCAAGGCCTGACGCTTCTTCTCCAGGAGTGTGTGGTGAGGGAAGGCATGAGAGCGGCACGATCCGTTCAAGATGAGATACTGGTTCTGGCATTGTGGACAAGAGCAGCTTAAAAGCTGACGGGTGGCTAAAGAGGAGAGTAACGTTAAAGGGAACGCACGCTGACACTGGAGGATACACTTAGGAGAGCTGAGGCTGAGATGAGAAGACGAGTGGCGAGCTTTAGGCATTGGGGTGTTGGATTTGCTACTTTCTTCTTGGACACTTCGGATCTGATGCCATTCAATCTGCAGTAGCCGGTCCAAGTATCTCTCGAGTTTCCCGACGGGCTTGGGCCGAGGAACGTTCTTGCCGTCGGTGTTCAAGTACACTGCTAACTGCTGCAGACTCCACGAATTAAAAGGAGGAGGTAAGAAATCTGGATAGGATCCTCTTAACTTGGAACTGGAGGTCTGAATGTCCGACGGGTCGATGACTTCTGCTCGCAGGTCCAGGTCAGGCGGAGAGATTCCAGCGGGAAACACAGAATATCGCTCCGAATCGGAGAGGTCACTGGCGCTGTCTTCTTCTCTGGGTTTACTTTGCAGCGTACAGCCTTCCTCTTCATCTTCTCTCTGCACTTTCACAGGCCTTACGCTTGAGCTTTTACCTGAGTCACCATTGCCAGTCTCTTTTGCACCACTGCTGGTTTGTTTTTGTTGCCTCTCCTTTTGTCCGTTGTTGGAAGTCGCATGAGATTTGATCTTGGTGTTGTGTTGCCTTGAGGAACCAAAAGTCAAGTCTTAGAAAATGATATAATATTTAAAGTTTAACCGCCATAGTCTGAAGGTTTATAATTTGCACATGTTTTGTCTTGCTAGATTACACAATCAGTAGATTTGAAACCATTCCAGTGCTAGAAGAGGCCAAAGCGAATTTAATCCGTAACTTTCGGATAGCGCACAAACTTCGAATTGATTATTCTTTCGCGTCTTCATGGACTTGGATGGACAAATACACACAAAATGATGTAAAAATACCAAATACCAGCAAGTATTTTCATAAAAAAACAGTATGTTGTGTTTTAAGAGAAAAATCCGTGCATTCGGTCTTAAAGTGACAGAAGCCTATAAACACCTGCTGTTGACTATATGTCATTAATGTGTTATTTTACATTTAATTATTTCATTTCTGAACCTAAAATGAATACTATTTGTAACATTATTGTATTGTATTTATTTATGCTTGGGGTTTATTTGTTTGTATTCTTTACTGACTGTTCACTTGCCTTTAATAATGTCTGAACTAGTACTACTGGCTAGTAGTTTTTAAAGTGGTATTGGAGAACCTACTTAAAGTGTGCTTTTAGGTAATAAATGGAAAATGAAGTTACCCATCCCCTAAATGTTATTTTTTTCTTGCTGATCCGCAAAATTGTCTGATCCATGATTCAAAAACCATAATATTATCCGAACCGTTAATTCTAGACTGTAAAATACAACATTTATTTATCAATGTGCAATATCTACCTGTGTGTGGTGTTCGCCGTGATCAACATTTTGTCAGGTCTTGTCCTTCTGAACCTTTGCTGAGAGTCCTAGACACAAAGGGAAAAAAGCACTTATACCTCCCATGATGTGTTTAATATCTACTGGTATGTTCTATTAAAGTGCCTCAATTACAGATTCAGACTCTCTAAACCCCGCCTTTCTGAGAGCCTGCTCTGCTCTGATTGGTCAGTCTGTTGTGATTGCACGTGAGGGAAATTGTTTTGAAAACGTCCAATGTTGTAAAATGGCAACCGGATTGATTTGACCCAGAGTCCGTGTGTTGCACCATTCCTGTCAGATCCAATATAGACGGCACAGCGCCGTTTTTTAATCTTAATCGGTCTGCAAATCCAGTCTAGTTTACAAAACAATCCTCAGTGAAATGAAGCTAACAGACGGACAATGTTTTACCCCAATCAGCTGGAACGTTTAACCATTCCTATTGGAATCCAGAGAAAGCTTATGCAGCAACGGTCTTCTTCCACAACCAGGCACTGCACAATATTTTGTATGTCTCGGTAGCTCGGTAGTTTGTCATCAGTAGGTAGGCCTATGTTATTTAGCTATGCGTGTAATGCGCGGATCGGTGGGCGGGGCTAAACCGGCCATGTGTTTTAACGCCTTTGACATCATAGTTCCCCACTTTGAAAAACGAGTTGTTTGCTGAGCCTGGTGTCAATAAAAGCTTTTATTGGACTAACAAGGACGTTATCAGTTCTGAAACAGTTCTGATATTCTTATAATATGATGACGTCTTAGATGTCAAAAGCTCAAGGAAATTTTGATTTATCAGTTCATCACCCCTTTAAGAAGCGTTTTGGTCAATCTGATCACAAGTAGACGAGAGAGAAACATTCCTGTTTACACCTGGTGTTTTAGTCTCTTCCAGTGTTGTAGTCGAGACCACCTCACTCGAGTCCGAGTCGAGACCGAGACCAGGGAGAGTCGAGACCGAGTCCATAGAGAGTCGAGTCCGAGACCAGAGACGGCCGAGTCCGAGACCAGTGAGGGTTGATTACCTAATTTACTTTTATTTACTTAGAGAAATCCTTTTTTTTTTTTTTTTTTTTACTGAATTTACTTAGAGTTTAAAAAATATGATCAGTTTAGGGTAAAAAGGCCACATTGTAGGTGGTGTTAAAAGTAATTTTATTACAATTTGTCATGCGCAGTTGCACACTAGAAAATCACCAATCACTGGGCGTGTCAATCAATTTATAGAAATATTTTATTAACATACATTAATAATCATGAAAAATATTTTGAATTGAACTCGAGTGGACTCGGGAATAATCCGAGTCCTAAAAAAAAAAATGTTCGAGTACGAGTCACACGAGTCCATGACAAGACCAAGACCATTAAAATATGGTCTCGAGACCGAGTCCGAAACGAGTCCGAGTCTCGAGTACTACAACACTGGTCTCTTCTGTCCGCTTTCGACCAGATCTGGAAGTGGCTGAAAGTTGACAAGCTCAAAACGTTTTACACCCGACCCTGTTTACACCTGTATAGTGTCGTCCCTTGTAATGCGATTGACCAAAAACACGGCAAAAGTGGATTTGCTTTGTCAGCAGAAAACAGCGTCTTCTCCACATGAACAACACGAGCCAAACTCTTCCAGTCTCAGATACAACTACAGTGTGGGTCAAAGTAGCCAATGAAGAACATAGACTGGCATTATGCAAATCTGTTACAAACCTATGCAGATTCAGCAGGAAGTGAGACTGGAAATACTGACAACTTGTTTCAGTTTAGAATCAGTTTTCTTTTTAGCCACTTTTCCACTGACGGGCGAGTGTGATCCAGTACTAACATCATACCGAGGACAAAATCAAGCTGCGATTCCACTGTCAGCAACAGAGTTATTATACGAGTTAACTGGAGTATGTGTCATTTATGACATAAATGGGTGCATTAAAGAAGTCCAGTCTCAACACAAAGGCAGATGAAACCAAACAAATGCACGAATATAATATGAATATATATAATATATACGATTATATATATGATTACTCAAGTGACTACTAGCCTAACTCAGTTTATCTGGACTTTGCAGACCTTTTACATTCACAAACAGCTCTATTACACACTACATGAAAAGTGTGTGGTGAACTGAATTGTATCAAATTGCATTAAATATATTATTATAGAATTATTATATAAGTTTACACACAAATACTTACAGGTTCAGATGACAGGCTGATGCCATTATTCGGTGGTGGATGCAAAGGCACCTTTGTGGTTTTCTTGCTTTCAATAAAAAAGTGAGGTTGATCAAGATCAGAAATAAATGGATGATTGCTGAAGTACAGCCGATATTCAACATTTAAAGATTTTTTGTGTCATTTATTCTTCTTACCTTGGTGCATGTCCCAAAGCTTTGGTTTTTGTTCTATCTGAAGAAAAAAGCTTACTCTGACTTTTATGCACAGTGCTCTCCTGTAAGACTGTTCCCATCACTCTCCTAAACGCATGAATACTCGTGTATTAAAGCCACGGAGTCTTTTGATTTGAAGCCTCGTCCATTTTTTCTTGTTCATGTGAGGTTTCCTCCCACTGTCCCTTTAATCCTCGGTGCATCTGTCCCGTTCTGTCGTCAATAATTCAGCACAACATCGGATCAGTGTAATGAGACTCATCGGTCAAATTAGGCGTTCTCGATTCTGTCTCGTGCACTAATCTAATCGATATGAGGTTAACAGTCTGAGGATCTTTACGCGGGCGTGTTTCCCAGATGTGAGGATGCTGAAGGGCGCATTGTTGTGTGGGAAATGTAGTTATACAGTGTCACGGGCTCAGGGTCGCTGTAACACGTCTACACGATACTGTAAAATACTGTGGACTGTAAAAGAGCGACGCGACAGAAATGCAACCCGAAGCTTGCCGAAGATATCGATAGCCGATAGTCTAGTTCTAGTTCTCGTGAATGGAGATTGACGTAGGCTATGCATTGTGTACATGCAGGACGTGAGAATGTCAAATCTCATGTACAGTGGTCTAATAATAATAATCGTTGGTGTGGTAGTTTCGACTACTCCTCCTATGGGACCAGTTAAATGTCATAGGTGCTTGATCTCTGAGTATATTATTACAGACACTCTGGGTGAAGAGGTATTTTCCACCTTAAAAGTATTCATCTTTCTGAGGTCGTTCTTCGTAAAGTTGCCGTAATTGAGGTAAGAATCTGTTGCCAGATGTAGATATTTACATTGAACATCTTGATTGAGACCTGTCAACTTTGCCTAAATCAGAAGTAGGCTCGTTGTAACACACTTTTAAAACTTTCCATGCTATGACGAAACTGTGTATAGTGTATCTATTTACTAGTTGTGAAATCAACATTATAGGCCTATATGAACAAAAAAATGCGTCAAAATTAAAATATGTTTGGGAGATATCACTGAAGATTTATTTAGCAGAAGTACATTTCTTCTGCTAAAAAGAAGTTTTTTTCTTTTGTGTGTGTGTTCATATTTAAATTCATACAAATCTGATATTATTTTGAGCTTATATTATCTATCTGTTATTTAACTATTGGGATACAGTAGTTAACTATTGGGATACAGTAGTTCTTTCATGCTGATAACCAGCGGGATACATTAGCCAGTCGAGTTTAAATCCCAGTTGTGCTGGTGGGGCATGTTGTCACACTGTGATGCAATGTGCCCCTATTAGAACAAGGCTATTCTATTCTATATTTTATGAATTCTATTGAGGAAAAAAGATGAATCAAGACTGAGAGTCAATGTTTAGAAATTATTAATTATTATTTGCCTACATTTTGAACTATGCAAAGTTGTGTTTTGTGGTGTGTTTATTGCCAAAATAAAAAATGACTATATTTTCAATTATTCAAAAAAATTGCATAATTTTATATTAAAAAGTTAATAATTGGATTTTACCGCTCTCCCCTACGTGTGTTACACATTTGTGTTTTTAGGCTTTAGTATTAGGTGAACATAGCATAATGAAGGAAAGGAATTATTAGACTAGTGTCTCCAAAAAGGATATAGACACTTTATGGCAAAGTTAAAAAAAAAAAAAAAAAAATCTAAATGTCTTGTCTTTACATTAACATAACAAAGTTTGGTAACATTTTATTTTACAGTACCATATGTTACATGTAGTTACTATAGGTAAGGACGTGTAGTTACTTAAGTTAATATTACTCATTATTTAAATGTATAATTATACTGTTAATTTAAGACATCTTCAAATAAAGTGTAACTGAAAATGTATAGTTGTCAAAAAAGAGGTCAGTTTGCATAAATGCCTAAAAAATATTTATGTTCTGAAAAGCTACTTTGCAAATACTGCAGCACTCATATATTTTCACCTGTGACTTATACGTGAAACTACAGCTTGTGTACGGCATATCTACTTACATATTCTCCTTTTGCTTATAGTAAGCACAGTGAGAATGGATTCTCATCCGCATGGATCTGGACCTGCCTTCCAGTTCACAAGCGTTTTAAATAAAACATTAAGACCTGTCAAGAGCTTTCACCTTCAGGACATCTCCAACTTACTTCCACACAGGACCCCGGTGGCAATACGACCCCCGAGCCCAAACCCAGGTCCCGCTCGGTGTCCCGTGGGCCATCGCGGGCCGTCCTGCGAGCCGGAGCCGAAGCCCATCATGAGGAGACGTGCCAAATCCCTCTCGTCCTCCACAGGTGAGCACTCGTGCAAGAACATGCAGGTCCGCTTCGTGGACTCCCTGGGGCTCGAGCTGGAGGATGTGAAGTTCTTCACGGCCAGCGAGGATCCGCGAGTGCCGGTCCACGTCATCATGAGACTTCTGGCCAGTTCTGAGCTCGCGTCCAGGAAAAAGCTTGAGCTGGAGCTTCCTTACTTCCAACCGGCCTTCCCTGATAATATAAGTGCGGAGTCTGGATTCCTCGAGCGCTTGATCCAGCAGAGTGTTTCCCTGGAGCGGACGTTTTACTCCGAGCTGGGCATTGTAGGAACTGTGCAGGTGTTGAATCTGGCGTACGAGAAAGAGGTGACGGTGATCTACTCGTTCACAGACTGGAAGAGCCGTGCGGAGAGTAAAGCGAGCTGGAGCTCCACTGTCCACAGAGACGGGTCTGATCCGGAGACAGATGTGTTTCGTTTTCATCTGCCTGTCCCTCCGTTCATCATGACTCCCGGAGCCGTGCTGCACTTTGCCATCCGCTACCGGGTCAAAGGATCCGAGTACTGGGACAATAATGCTGGATGTGATTATAAACTGACCTGCCAGACGTATAAAATAACGGTGCCCAGAGAGTGTGAAGATAGTTTGGTGCATTTCGTTTGACTCTCACCTCGTTGCATTGAGATATACACTTAAACATCATCTGAAGGATCTCTTATAGAGCCACGCTTTTACACAAGCATGTGAAGTTGGAAGTTATCATTAAAGGATTAATTCACTTCAGAATTTAAATTTCTGGACAGAAATTAAGGTTTTTGATGAAAACGTTCCAGGTTTTTTCTCCATATTGACATCAATGGGGTCCAACGGGTCGAAGGTCCAGATGTGAGTTTCAGTGCAGCTTTAAAGCCTCCACACGATCCCAGCCAATGAATAAGAGTCTTAACTAGACAAACCCGTCATCTTATAAAAAAATAAACATTTATATACTTTTTAACCCCAAATGCTCATCTTGCACTAGCTCTGTGATACGTAATCACATTGAAAGGTCAAGCGTGACGTAGGCATAAGTTCAGACCTAGTGTTTAAAGCGAACGTGCAAAGACTAAGTTGAATTCCGTACAAAAATAATAATAAATAAAAGCTAAAACAAAGATGTCGGACGATTTTGAAGTTGGAGGTTTTCACACTACTCTACATTTTCCGCTTATGTCAGGTCACCGCCTGACCTTTCAACGTGATTACATAATGCGAGGCACATCGCAGTGCTAATCCAAGACGAGTATTTGTGGTTAAAAAGTATATAAATGTTTATTTTTTTCTAGAAAATGATGGATGTTTTGTCTATATAAGACTCTTATTCCTCGACTGGGATCGTGTCGAGACTCTGAAGCTGCACTGAAACTCACATCTGGACCTTCGACCTGTTGGACCCCATTGAAGTCACTATATGGAGAAAAATCCTGGAATGTTTTCCCCAAAAACCTTCATTTCTTTTCGACTGAAGAAAGAAAGACATGAACATCTTGGATGACATGTGGGAGAGTGAATTTGAAGTGAACTAATCCTTTAAAATGGCTCTAGTTTCAAGACTGACAACCTCCCGAGAACAATTACCTGATCGCTTCAGTGTTAATATTGCAGGAGACTTTTGTCTTTAATTGTCTCTTCAAAAATAGAACAAACTTCATGCACATTCTTTCAATTCCTTTAGAACCCAGAGCTCGTCTGCCAAGATACCGCATGTTATAGTGCTATTTAGTTCTATCATTTATTTGGATTATATATGGCAAGCAACACTTTACAGTAAGGTTCCATTTGATAACATTAACATGATTCAATGAGCAATACAGCAGATAACGTTAATTTCAACATTTACTAATGCATAATTTCAAATCAAAACTTGTATCTGCTAACTTGCACGGTGAACTAACACAAACACTGAACAATTGTGGTTGTTCAAAATGTAATAGATGTTGTAAAAAAAAAAATATATATATATATATATATATATATATATATATATATATTGCTCATAGTTAGTTCATGTTAGTTAATGCATTAATGTTAACTCAACTCTACTCATCTCAGATTTTATTTATAAAACACTTTAAAAACCAAAAAACTAACCAAAGTGCAATACATAAATAGCAAAATCAAACAAACATAGAATAGCAATAAGGCACAACACCAATAAATCGTCCATCGTATAGCAAATCACTTACATTTACAGTATCAGACCTATTTGTTGTGTCTAACATCTTTTCCATGTGTGATATGTGTAAGACATTAAAGTGATCATGTAATGCACAAACTGACTTGGTAAGTTATTGTGTTGTACTTGGCACTTATCTTTATTCGATTCCGATGTTCTGCGTGTTACTCTTTCACTCCGTGCAGCAAAACAAGGTTATTCAAGCTCTTAAAGTTTGTATATTTAGAGAAGGATATATTTGAGTGATCATTGTTAATGTGACTTGCATTAGCGCTCTTGTTGACCTTTGCTCGACAGAGATTTGTGTGTCAGTAAATGGCATCTGAGGAAGGCCATCAATGCGCTTCTGACTGGAGGAGCACATGATAGAAACGAGAGGTCAGTCCTAAAAATATACATCATCTTTAAACCAATAACAAAACTACTACACCTTCACCTTTGACACATTACCGGACAGTTGCATTTCTGAAATTCTTTATTTGATGTAGGTTGTGTTTACTATTACAATATAACTTAATTAAAAAAGCTATATCTAGAGTTGTTGTCCTTTTTTTATAATAATAATAATAATAATCTGTTACATGTATATAGCGCTTTTCTCTGAACTCAAAACACTTTACATAGAAGCAGGGAATCTCCTCAACCATTATGTGCAGCATCCACCTGGATTTTTAAAATTTGTTATACGTTATTTTTGTTTTGTTTGTTTATTTCATTTTTTTGAATGAATAATTGGTAGTTGTGTTGATCGTCAAAGAAAACATCTCTGATTTGAACCCCTTCTGTGAGTGAGCACTAGGTGGCGCTGTGAATCAGCA